CCTTGCCAAAAGAGCAAGAGTTAATTGAAATATGCAGGTAACATTATGGTAAAGACAGGCTATTAGCATATGTAGTTGATAGAATAGATCCTACTGGAGATTTCTAAGAGTCAGCACCAACTAACACAGAGGTGTCAAACTCGATCCTGTTGCGAACTGCATCAGGAGGTTTTTTGCCTTTGGGGGGTTGGGGTGGATATGGCCTCATCGTGGACCACTGGGTGGGCATGGCCAGCCCTGGGGCAGCAGGGGCCAGTCCCTTGTCATCTCTGGGATGGCCCCCATGGGCCAATTCCACAGCCTATCACAGGCCACATTGTTGACACACCTAAACTAAGAGACTGCTAAGAGTCAGGTGATCAGTCTGATTACCTCAAAATGAACCTTAAGGCAAACTCATACATTGTCCTGGAGCATCCCCAAGAAATATTACAAAGTTCTGTAACTCTTGCTCATATCCTCATATTGTGCTCTATGATGCCCCAAAGTGTGCTCCGATTGCCCCAATTAAATAAAAGGGCCACACAGTTAAATTTTATTATTTTTTATGGAGTGCTAACCCCACATTCATACATCACCATGCTAAATGTCTGCACTAGGTTATACAAATGTGCAAAACTTTTAATTAGATGTATTATTTTATTGCCCTATTATTTTACCTTTCTCAATAACAAATTGTTATGTTAAATTAATTCTCTTTTTTACTAAACTTTTTATTGTAAAGGCCCAAAGAGCTGCTAATACAGTTCTACAAAGGAATTATTGAGTCTGTCATTTGTACTTCTATAACTGTCTAGTTTGGTACAACTACTGACAGGACAGGTACAGACTCCAATGGATAATTCGGACTGCAGAAAAAACTACTGCAATCAGCCTGCCTTCCACTGATGACCTGCATATTGCATGGGTCAGAAAGAGGGCTGAGAAAATATCTACAGACCCCTTATATCCTGCACATAAACTGTTTTACCTTCTCCCTTCAGGACACTGCTACAGGGCATTGCATGCCAAAACAACTAGACACAGAGACAGTTTTCATGCTATCATTCTGCTGAACACCTAATTACCACAGTGCTGTCTTATTATGTCTAAGTATATTTACCCATGTAGTATAGTTGTATTAATTTTATCCTTCCCATCTGTTCCATTACCTTTCCTTATTGGTATCATTATGATTATTAGTTTGACGTTATGATTATTATTTGTTGTTTTGCATGTACACAGATCTTATGCACCAGACACAAATTCCTTGTGTGTCTAATCACACTTGGCCAATAAAGTATTCTATTTTTATTTCTAAAGACTGTCATATAGATATTTGAAAGATCCAGTCTTCTAGATTTTCTAACGTTTATCAGCATTTTATATATTATTTTGAAGCTCATACAATATTTTTTCAAGTTTATAAAGGGGCTCTTCCAAGAGGACCCCCAAAATATATCAAGCTTTCAAATTTTTCACCTGTCAGGCTCTTCTCTGTTGGTGCTACGTTTGCTGTTTTAAAACAGTTGCTTTTAATTTGCCTTGGGAGCAATTTACCTTTAAGTAAAAATGTTTCAGGACTAGAATTGCTGCCTTAGGCCTTTTGTTCTAAATCAGGGTGTCAAACTCACGTCTTCACGGCACCATCATGTGACGTATCAGGACTTTCCCCGCCCCCTTCATTAAACTGGGCATAGGCTTGGCCAGCATGTGACGCATCTGGGCTGCGAGTTTGACAGCCCTGTTCTAAATAAATGCTGTTTGCTGAAAGAAATAGTGATGATTTAAACAAGAAATTCTTACCATTGGAGACATCTGTTGGAAGGGCAATGCACTCTATTCAAGTTGTCAGCCCTACAAGATAGACCCAATTAAGAAACTAATGCAGGGGTGAAATCCAGCAGGATCTGACAGGTTCTGGAGAACCGGTAGCAGAAATTTTGAGTAGTTCAAAGAACTGGCAAATACCACCTCTGGCTGGCCACAGAGTGGGGTGGGAATGGATATTTTGCAATATCCTTCCCCCAGGAGTGGGGTGGGAATGGAGATTTTGCAGGATCCTTCCCCTGCCATGCCCACCAAGCCACGCTCACCAAGCCACACCACACCCACCAAGCCATGCTCACAGAACCAGTAATTTAAAAAAATGGATTTCACCACTGAATTAATGCCATGTAGGTCAGCACTATTTTTATTATAACAGCTGTAGTAACAGAATCTTGCAAGTCTGAATATGCTTCCTCCCTCATTTTATCTTTCTCTGAACTGTAGGAAGTTAGCCTCCTAGGAAAATGAGATAGTTTAGGAAATATTAAAAGGGCAGAATATTTCCTCTGAAAGGGAGTCAGAAACTCAGCCCCCACCTTTGTTAATGAGCCATTAAGGCCTGGGCCAGTCTATTCTACATAACAAAGATCTACCTCCTTCTAGCAGAGCCATAATAGGAATTGCCCAAAGCCCCTTCATTACATCATCATCCAGCAAGGCTCAACCAAGCTTGGGACTCAGGACAGACTACAGAGTTGCCCCTGTATGGCCCCATGGGAGTCTGACAACCAATCAGAATACAAAGTCAAATTCAAAGCCCAACAGAGGACATAAAACCAAGGCACTGTCAGCATCTCTGCCCTTTTCTGCTCAGGAATGTAGGAAGAAATATCCTTCTGGGTTCAACTCCAAGTGGGGAAAAAGACACTGGAAACATGGACACTGCTTGGAAAGATGGTCTAATGGTGGATAGGATCACATGGTTTGAGTTTCTGAACAGAAAAGGGGCAAGACGCAGTGACTCCCTGGGTTTTATGTCCTCTCTGGCTTTGAACTTCCTGGGGCCCAGAAAGAGTATCCTGATTGGTTGTCAGACTCCAAGGGGGTGGGGGTCTTAGCTAGCCTTGCTGGCTGATGTAATCTTCCCAGGTGCCATGTGGTGAGTTTCTGTTGCTAGATGGGTCCTATTGTGTTGCAGATGATGATCCATTGACAAAGATTGAGTTTCTGCCTTTGGCCCATTGACAAAGGGTGGGGGCAGGAAGATGGGAGCTGCTTCGTTTTTAAAACATGCTTCTCCATTTCTCATCCAGGGAAACATAATATTCTGCCTTTTTAATATTTCCCAAAATATTTCATTTTTCTAGGAGAGTGGTGGGTGCTAACTTCCTACAGGAACTCAAGCCATGAGATCCTGTTCACCAGTAAACCTTCTTTCCAAGCAACTTCCATGAATCCAGTTTCTTTTTCCCCACTTGGAATTGAACCCAGAAGGATATTTCTTCCAACACAACTGGGGGGGATCTGTAAGAGATGTATACTTTAGTTAGTCTCCTGGAATATGCACCACTTATCTGATTGTTCTTTTTTTAGTGGTCCTTCCTCTTGCCGTTCAAAACCATTTTCTACGTCATCTACAAGTTAGACTGACCACAAGAACTAGGGTTATCTACAGATTATATACCATAGAAAGCACATATCAGATCAAATGGACACAATTAATTTTGACTAATGTATTACTTATGTCCCTTGCTCATAGAATAGGCAAGACTGATGCTCTTTCTTGCAAGTCTGAAGTGCATCACCCACAATCCAATGATGACATTGCAAAGGCAAGTGCTACTTTGGAGCAATACCTTTCTTGATATGTTAATCCTAAAGAGATGTAATCAGCTGTAACAGTATCCTTGAGGAACAAGAGGAAGGGCTGCAACAAAAACAAGGGTCAGATAAAAGAAATTTGAGTCCAAGGCAGAAAACACAGATTTGACCCTCCCTGATTTTCTTGAAGATAGAGGAGGCATGTTGAGACTTCCAAGATTCTGTTATTGTATCTCTATAATAAAAGTAGTTTAGTCCTTGATTTAAAACTGTAATGGAACCTTGCCCATCATTATTGTAAGTTGTGACAGTTGTAAAAAATGTTACAATCTTTTTTGTGGTGATTTTTAAGCAAATACAACAATCTTAAAGTAACCATTGTGGTTGTTAAGCGAATCAATAGTTTGCTCTTGGCGGTTTTGCTGAAAACTGGAAATAAATGCTATAAAAGTCACATGACCATGGGACACTGCAAATGGCTATAAATGTGGCCCAGTTGCTGAGCACTGAAGTTCAGTCACATAACTTGGGGGGGGGGGGCTGACCATCAGAACTTCAAATCCAGGTTGTAAGTAGCTTCTACATAGGTCCATCACAACATTAAACAGTCAATAAGCAACCTGTTGTAAATTAAGGACTATCTGTATTAGCATTCATAATGGGTTTCCTAATCTGGTCTATTTCAATGAGCTGACATCAAAACAATTGGGCTGAACTTTTCCCTAATATTTGTCTACAATTCAATTCATTCTACTTGCATGGTGAATAGTCAAATAACAACGCAACCTAGACTGCATGTTGTCACAATAAAAGGGAAACGATTAATATCAGTATTGTTAAGAACAACTAAAGAGACTGCCTTGGACTAAGGACAAAAGTGAAATCTGTATCACAAACGCATGACAAAAAAGAGATCGCCAAAGCAAATTACGTTGTTTAAATGTAAATGTATTTACTTGTAAGAACCCAGCTACTGAAAGGCAGATAAAAGTAGTGTTTTGGTTTCTCCTGTCTAAGGGAAAAGGTTGCTTCATCGTGGGTCTAATTTGTTATAAATTGTCAATTACTTTGCAATTATAGGCTATATGCAGTAACGCACTCGCAATCGTGATCGAAAGTTTTCTTGTCCGTTGGAATAAACGTTACCACCGCCCACATTCTCTCTACTCCCCCGCCCTTCCCACTAACGAATCTCCAAGTTCAACTCCGCCCCATCCTCTCCCACACTTTGAAACCCAAGTGGGAAAGAGAATCTTCCCACCTGGTTTAGTGCCATACCACTAGTTCATTCCCAATTGGTTAGAGGTGCTGTCAATCATATAAAGCAGAAGCAATAAAAAAAAAAAAAGCCCGCGCAAGTTCGGAAGAGCCTGCCTGAAAGTTGCGCGGGTCGAGCCGCTGTTTCCTCTACAGGGAAGGAGCGGTAGGCTAGTTTGTAGGGCACAGAGAGTATTGGGGGGGGAAACGCTTGAAGGAGGAGGCGTCGCTTGTCATCGTGGATGCTAAATTTCCAATCCTTGGATGGGACCTTCGTTGCAGTATTTCCAGTCCCTCGTGCAGGGCATGTCTCTCCATTTAGAAGGGCCAATATAAAGACGCCTCAAATGAGGATTTGCTTGAGGGAGCAAGAGGGTGGTTATAGAAAGTAGAAATAGTCCTCCTTGTGAAATATTCACTGAAATGTAAAAAGTGCCTTTTTTCGGCCCTGGGCACTAATTTAAGCGAAATACTTAATCCAATAGTGATAAATTTCCCATTAAGTAATTTGTTGATAAAAACAGAACGACCTTCAGACTGAAAATGAACTACTGTTAGGAGTAGTCGAGGAGAAAATGGAAAGGAACGACTCTCAGCGTTGAGGCAGAGGGGAACTCTTGTGATGGCGGGGAGGTAGAGGGCCAGGCGGGAGTAAAGAAATCGGGGATATATGTTTATGGAGGAAGTACAGATGCAAAATAGCTAATCGGTGGATATAACCAGTTATAATCATTTTATTACTTCCGACTGGAAGGCATTAGAATGTCGTTCTGTTCTTTAAAAAAAATCAAAAATATAACCAAAATAATTAAACCAAGATAAAACCAAAAGCCATCTATATCAAAGTATCAAAAATAAGAATTATATAGCACACCTGGATGTATATCACATATGTAGTTATTTCACATAGGCTTCAAAAATAGGCCTTCAAAAACTTTCAAAAATGCCTATGAATTTTTATAATCAGGCAGGTTCAGGATGAAAGAGTCATCTTGTAAATAAGTAATGAGAATAAGAAAACACTATTGTTTCCATTATTTGCAAGCATATATTTCAGTTTACCAAAATCAGATGGAATTTTTATATCTTTAATCTTGGATATCAGGATAGTGTATGATCAACTTTTATCTTAGAATATCAAATAATAAATAGGAAATAAAACCCTTAAAAGCAGGGCTAGTAATTATATTTTGTTAAAATATTTGCATAATATCTTCATATATTTTAATCTTTAGGTTCATGACTTTAAAGTCAGTTGAAACGTGATTGCTTTCCAAACTTAAGCAACTTTTGAGCTTTCATTTACCACATGTGAAAATGGTTTTTATATTACAAAATATTGTCATAGGTGATTAGTGTATGATCATGCTAAAGTAGCTGATTTACATTCTATGGCATCTGAAAAGCAATTTGGCAATTGTTAATCTGTAGATATTGGTTTTTGCAAAATACTGTTACTTCTTTGCAAAATTCTTAACTTTTAGCAGATAGGCTTCCATAGTGTCTGATGCAGAATGTATTTATAGAACTTTTCCAACAGTGTTTTCATGATAGCCTTTCAGCTATGTTTTAGATTATATTTTGATTCAGAAATTGAAAAGTGATGAATATAGACATTTTTATATAGAGATGTTCAACCTCCATACATTGTAAGAAATGCACAAAACACAAGGTGTATGCTAGAGCTGTAAAAGGTATATTTATTAAGTTTCCTCCAATCACTATATGTCATTTTAACATTCAAGGGGATGGAGCTGACATGTGAAATGTGTTGTCCAAGCAAGTTTGCTTTCCTTATCTAGGAAAAGTGCTTGAGATGAATGGTACTTATGCCATCCCTCGTCTAATTTTTTTTTCGCTATAAAAACTGTCCTGCTTATTTAACCTGATTTGTTTATATGAATCGGGGATTAAAAAATGACAAGTGTGATCATATCTTGCTTGATTGTTAGAAAAGTCTGTATAAATTGAATCTTCAGATTTATTGCTATACTGTCTTAAACAGAATGAAATTAAATATACTTTCAATAAGTAATAAATTTAATACCACTTGGTGTTTACTTGAAATTTCATTTTTGTCCACAGATATTAATCTGATCAGATTTATTGGACTGGATGATTGATCAGAGTTCTGTTTGTGCAACCCATGTATTAAAGTATTTGAAAACAGTTTGATATTTCAAAGGGTTACAGAGCACAGTGTGAACTGATTTTGAAACCTAAAAAATCTTGTAAGTTTTAATCATTCTTTCTAAAGGGCAATGTGTGCATATAAATTATTTTTCTCTCTTCTAAGTACTCTGAACACTGTGGTATGTAAGTTTTAAAATACAGTTTGGAACAGGGTTTCACAAAGTATTAACCCCAGGCTGATAGGATTACCCAAGAGGTCAATAAATGGCTGAAGGTCAGTAGATAGTTGATAAATGATGGAGAGTTGATTGGGTTTACTTAATCTTTTAGGATCTCGGAAGAGCTCCATGTGAGTACCTAGTCCTGAATGTGAAGTGGCTAGTGGGCTAGCTTGTTGCCTAGGTTGGATAGCTACCAGTGAGAGCAGCTTTGTCTCTGTTGCTAATATTCATAGCATTATTAAAGTAGATTTATTACATTATTTTCATTTAATAAACATTTAGGATTAATGAAGAACTTAAAACTTAATGAAGGATCAATTAGCTGAAGAGTTTGGGGACCCCTGATCAAACATTGATGTAATAGTGTTTATCACTTTGCATACTTCATCCCTTTTGCACTTATGTCATAGCATCTGATGCAAGTGTGCAAAGAGCATAATTTGTAATGTATCACAATGCATATATCATTTTGATATAAGCTTGGCTTTCTGCAGATATTCATTTTGAAAATATTACTTTCCCGTAGAGAATCCCGTGGATTTGATTTAAATCAAGTCGATTTAAATCATGATTTAAATTACTAGTAAAAAGGCTTGATTTAAATCAACTCCATTTAAATAATAATTTTTAAAGAGCAACTGTCATTTCTGTCCCGCAGCGGCTCCTCCTCTGACCCTCTTGACTCACGAACATTCCCAATATTTCAGAATATACAGCCTCATGCTACATAAGTAAGCTCCATTTCATGCTGAATAAACTAAATTATTAATAGAAAACTATCTTTAGATAGATTTTTAGTCCAAAAGCATTTTATTAAAATAAATTTAATAAAAATAAAGATTTTTTGATTTTTTTAAAAAAATCAATTTTTATCCATCCTGAAGATACTCTGTTGACATAAGTCTACCATTATACATGTGAGTCCATTTTGTTTTATTAGAAGTCCACTAAAAAAATTCCCCTTCCTTGCTTATCAAGCTAAACTAAGAATTTTAAAATTTATTTATTTGTTTCCATTTCTATAAAATGAACCAAATTAGCAAAGGATAACTCAGCTCTGAAGCTGGCAGAATTTTGGGAGTAGCAGTTTTTGTTACTCATCTACTTAATTCACCACCACTAGTTTAGGTTTGTCTCTAAATTCTAGTATATCATCTTCTGTAATAAAACAATATGTGATACATATTTTTCAGTGTTCTTCAGTAGAAAAATATGATTCTAAAATGCATTGTATTAAGATTGCCAATCAGCCTGAGCTGTTTCTGAGTTGAAAAAGTAGGCTGTTTCAGAGTTGAAGAAATGCATTTTGGTGACTGTTTCTTCAAAGTATGTTTTACAAGTATACACAGGTAGACCTCGACTTACAATCATTCATTTAGTGAAATTTCAAAGTTATAATGGCACTGACAAAAGTGACTTACACCTGGTCTTTGCACTTACAACCATCACACATCCCTATGTTTACGTGATCAAAATTAAGGGCAATTGGTGTGTGTTTATGATGGTTGCAGCATCCAAGGGTCATGTGATGACCATTTGAACCTTCCCACGGGCTTTCAACAAGCAAAGTCAATGGGAAAAGCTGAATTTGTATAATGACCATGTGATTCATTTAATAATTACAGTAATTCACGTAAAAACCATGGTGAAAAAAGGCCTAAAATTGGGATAGATTCAAAAACTGTGTTTTTTAGCAACAGAAACTGTGGTCCCAATTGTGGCTGTAAGTCGAGGAATACTGTACTCCAGTCTGTTACTGAATTTTCAATCCCAAATTATAAAACAAATGCTGGATTAATTTGAATATGATGTTTGAAATCACATTATATAATTTAGTTCTCCACAATGAAGCATTTCAATTCACGTAGTTGATTAATAAGTATTTAAATCAAATAGCAATGGGTTCTACTGTAAAAAAAATAAGGATTCATTCTTTATATATATATATATATATATATATATATATATATATATATATATATATATAGTTTTTTTTTATTTTTTAGACAAACATTTAATAAATCAGTCATTCCTTCTCGTTGTTGTCTCCAAAAATTCTTCTTTTTGTTATTTCTTCTATCTTCATTCTCGCCAAGTCCATTACAACAATTTATCACTAACACAATATTCTAATTGTAGCATTTTTATACATAACAATTAATTTACTTATTTATATCTCTTTTCTAACCAATGGTTAAATTGATTCCATATCTTAAAATATTCTGAATCTCCTCTTTGTTTAATCATCAAAGTCAATCTATTCATTTCTGCATAGTCTAAAATTTTTTTAATTACTTCTCCTTCCAAATGTATTTTCTCTGCTTTCCAATTTTGTGCATAAACAATCCTTGCAGCTGTTATTACATGTATAATCAAATAAATATTTTCTTTACTAATTTTTTCTGGGATGATACCCAGTAGGAACAGCTCTGGTTTTAAATCAGTACGTTGCTGTATCATTTCTTCCAGCCATATCTTAATTTTATTCCAATAGTTTTTAGCTTCTGAACATGTCCACCACATATGGTAATATGAACCTGGTAACTGGTGTCATTTCCAACATTTAGCTGATTTATCTTTAAACATTTTCTCACATTTTAAACAGTTTCTCAGAGGGCATATGCCATCTATAAAACATTTTATATTGATTTTCCTTATATGCAGTGGGCATTGTTAATTTATAATTCCTTTCCCATAACTGTTGCCATTTCTCTAGGTCAATTGAATATCCAAAATTCTTTGCCCAGGCTATCATTGTTTTCTTTACTTGCTCCTCCTCCGGTTCAATGCCAAGTAAGAAATTATAGAGGTTTTTTTATAATTTATCCTCTGTTCCTGTGAGTATCTTATCCAGCTCTGTCTTTTCTAAATAAAAACCATATAATTGAGCATCTTTTTCATATCTTGTTTATATCTGTATGTTCATATACCAGTCCATCTCAATCCCCTGTTCTTCCAATTCTCGTTTCCCTTTCAATTCCTCCTTATCTGTTAATAAATCCTTGTATCTAACATTATTTCCAAAATTAAAAAACATTTGGGTGCATTAAAGCTTCCATTGTTGATAACCATATTGGTATTTTCACATAATATTTATCTCTAACCTTCTCCCATACTAGTAACAGTGCATTCCTTATATAATGTCTATGAAAGTACGTATGTATCTTACTTCTATCATACCATAAGAATGCATGCCATCCCAGTTGTAAATCATGGCCTTCCAATGTTAATAGTCTTAAATTTCTTAATTCAACCCATTTCTTCATCCAAGTCAGTGCTGCTGCATGGTAATATAATTTTATTTATTTTATTTTATTTCGAATTTATATACCGCACCTTCTCCCAAGGGACTCAGGGCGGTGTACAGCCAGATAAAAACATAAAATACAAACATTAAAAACAATTAAACGAATATATATTAATTTGGCCCCAGTTTAAAATGACAAACCAATTAAAAATTAAAAAATATGTTAAGCCAGCCCAGCTTGATGAAAAAAGAAAGTTTTAAGGGCAAAGCGGAAGGCACCGAGGTCTTGGATTCTCCTTATCTCTGGGGGCAGCTGGTTCCATAGGGTAGGTGCCCCCACAGAGAAGGCCCTCCACCTGGGGGGTCACCAGCCTACATTGTTTGGCTGATGGCACCCCGGGGAGGCCCTCTCTGGGAGCGCACAGGTCGATGGGAGGTTGTCGGTAGCAGCAGGCAGTCTCGAAGATAACTAGGTCCTATGCCATGGAGCGCTTTAAAGGTGGTAACCAACACCTTGAAGCACACCCGGAAGACCACTGGGAGCCAGTGCAGCTCGCGCAGGAGCGGTGTTACGTGGGAGCGCCATGCAGCTCCCGTAATTACCCGTACGGCCGCATTCTGGACCAGTTGGAGCCTCCGAGTGCTCTTCAAGGGGAGCCCCATGTAGAGAGCGTTGCAGTAGTCCAGGCGAGAGGTGACGAGGGCATGAGTGACTGTGCACATGGATCAAGAAAGGGTCGCAACTGGCGAATCAGGCGAACCTGACAAAATATAATTCCCAATTCGGGAGTCCAAATCTACCACGTAATTTCGTGTGCTGAAGCATTTTTATGCTTTTTTCCCTTGCCATATAAATTTCCTTTTATCTTGTTAAGATGTTGAAAACAAGTCTCTTCAATTTTTATTGGTACTGTCTGGAATAGAAATAGTAATCTTGGTAATATATTCATCTTTATTATTGCATTCCTTCCCATAAGTGATAGTTGAAGATTCTTCCACTTCTCCAAATCTTTCTCATTTTGTTGTTTTAATCTATAATAATTATCCTCTTTTATCGTTACACATCTTGAGGTTAAGTATACTCCTAAGTATTTAACTCTTTTCATCACTTGTATGTCTAAATTCTCTTTTATCTCTCCTTTTTGTTTTTCTGTGATATTTTTCACCAAGATTTTTGTTTTATCTTTATTTTTAGGCCAGACACCTTTCCATAACTCTATTTGTTCTAGTAATTTAAAGCCTGTTGTTTGTGGTTCCTCTATGATGAATACTAAATCATCCACAAAAGCTTGCAATTTGTACTGTTCTTTTTTAATTTTCATCCCTTTTATCTCTTCATTTCGCCTAATGTTTCTATTTAAAACTTCTAAGGTCAAAATAAACAACAATGGTGATAGAGGACAACCTCTAGTGCCCTTTGTAATGCTAAACATTTTCTGCCATTTCTCCATCATTAATTTAGTGGATTGTCTATCATAAATCGTTTTTATAGTATTTATACATCTCTCCCCAAAGTTCATTCTCTGGAAGAAAAAGAAAAAAAAGGATTCATTCTTATACAGAACTCTACACACTCAAATACTATTATATTTTTGTTGATTTGTTTTATCTAAAGCAAACATGTTAAAGAAGAATTTGAATAGGATTCAGTCTAATAGTTGCCATCAAATATTTGAATTTCTACTCAGAGAGAGATCAACAAGAGTATTAGAGCTCTTTGATACTGTTATGTATAAAAATGTATGCTTTATTTTATATGAACATACGAAAATTTGAATATTCACTATTTTATTTGTTAAATTTATATCCTCATCCATCAGCTCAAGTAGTGTTCACATATTCCTTCTCCAATTTTCTAACTAGAATAACACTATGAAGTAGGTTGGGCTAAATTATCAAGTCAGCTTCTGGGGCTAAGAATTGATATTAGACTAACTCCTTAACCAGTATAACTCACCAAACAAAATAATGCAAAGCCCTTTCTCAGAGGGCTTTAACGTAATTTGCAAAACAGATGTCCACAAAATAATTTAGACCAGCCAATCCCATAATCCCATTTTAAATTATTCATAGAGTAGAGGTCTCTGCATCCAGCAAATTTCAACTGGATTTGCCCTATTCCCATAATACTGTATATGTTTTCTCAAGATTCCATTGGGAAAGAAAGTTTGGATGAAGGAGGTTTTTGACATTAGATTTCTCAAAGCACTTTCTATAATCTCAGAAGGAAAGTCTAAATCTTGAAATCTTGAACATGATTTCAATTTTAATTTAATGTACAGTATGCATGATTTAGATAGTTTGATTTAGTTTGCCATATTATTCATTTCCATATATATAGCAGTTTGATTCTTTGGGGAATGTAGCAGTAAAATCAGAAATAAACCATACAGTATATATGTTGAAAACCTATGTGATCAAAATCACAATTTAATAAACCATCTTGAGAATCTTCTGCAACTTTCTATAGGTATAGCTTTACTTTTCCTTGAAATTATACATGTAAATGTTTGATTTTCATGTAAAAACTCCTTTCTATGGAATGTTTTCCATGTATATAATAACTTGGTTCTCCTTAAGATGTTACAGAAATGAATGAAGAACACACAGATGTAACAAATGGATGTAATAAAGTTAGATCTCGTACTCAGAATGAAGCTGCTTTATTGGCTCTTATGGAGAAGACAGGCTATAATATGGTTCAAGAAAATGGACAACGAAAATTTGGTGGACCTCCACCAGGTATTTGATTATTGCTTGATTTGAAAATATTAATTTTGGAAAAATAAATAATTGAAAAATGATTAATACACACAAAACATAGACTCTGTAATTATTGCCTAAGTAGTAGCCTAGCTTTGGTTAAGGTATGTGCGAAATGGGAGAATACCCAACTCATAATAAACCATTCTATTTCAAATATTCTGCTGAACCATTTCAGGTAGCTATGGTTGCCAGAACCAAAATCCAGGTGGGATAGGTATGCGTGTACATTGTACTCTCTCTGTCCCACATGGTTCCCAGTGTGGCATATTCCCTCAAATTATCTTATCTTCCTGGTACTATTTCTTCCTTCCCACCTCTCACCTGACCTCTCACCTCTTTCCTGACTAGATGGCTAAGACACTGAGCTTGTCAATCAGAAAGGTTGGCAGTTTGAATCCCTAGTACAGGTCTCCTGCGTGAGCAGAGGGTTGGACTAGGTGACCTCCAAGTCCCTTTCAACTCTGTTACTGTTAACCTGCCAGCTTAACTCAATAGTGGCCCACTGGCATTCCTCCCATTGCTTCCTAAGTGTTTTGCCCAAGTATTCTCTTCCATTGTCCCCTTATCTTCCTAAACTGCTGATATCCTTGGCTTTTTCTCTTCTCTCCCACCATCACTTTTGTCCAGAACAAAACAGACCCATTTCGTTCCACATATAAACCAGAACCCCCCACCAGGCATGTTTAGTTCAGAATGGATTACTCCGTAACCGAACATTTTTTCAGTGTTGTGCACATCTGTGCCAAATAACCATGGAGTGCATGTTGCATTTCTTTACAATATGACAATTCCTTTTTAAGTTAAAATTCTTTACTTAATTTTAGGTATTCCAGTTGAACCAAGTATAAGGTTATATTCCTCACTATTCATATTTAGGACTAAATTTAAATCAAAGCAGTAGGTCTTTGTTTAAATAGAATTCACTGAAATAAATTTTGACCAGATGATACAAGCCATATCTAATGGAGAACTGTTGGACAATCAGTATCTGTAGAGTGCATTAGCATTTTAGTTTGTATAATCTGTTGGATATTACATGAAACCCCCCACAAATTGTTTTAAGGTAAGTGACAGTGAAATAATATGATAAATAATTGGCCAGGATTTTTTTCTTAGTATCAATTAATAAAAATATGTTGAATGTGTTTTTTAAGGTTGGGAAGGTCCGCCACCACCCCGAGGCTGTGAAGTTTTTGTGGGAAAAATTCCTCGTGATATATATGAGGATGAATTAGTTCCTATTTTTGAAAGAGCTGGGAAGATTTATGAATTTAGATTGATGATGGAATTTAGTGGTGAGAATCGTGGATATGCTTTTGTAATGTATACAACAAAAGAAGAAGCTCAGTTTGCCATTAAGACCCTTAATAATTATGAGATTCGTCCTGGAAAGTTTATTGGTGTTTGTATAAGTTTGGATAACTGCAGACTATTCATTGGAGCCATTCCAAAGGAAAAGAAGAAAGAAGAAATCTTGGATGAAATGAGAAAAGTCACTGAAGGTGTTGTAGATGTTCTTGTGTATCCAAGTGCAACGGACAAGACAAAAAATCGTGGGTTTGCCTTTGTAGAATATGAATCCCACAGAGCTGCAGCTATGGCAAGGAGAAAATTAATTCCTGGTAAATATGTTCATTCTTCACATGGAAGGTTTAATCATATTCTTGTTGAGAACATGTATGTTTAAGTTATGCTAGAAGCTACTCCGTATGCAAGAGTGCCAGATTCCTTTGCTTCCATCATGTAGAAGTCAAGGCATAGATTTTGAGAAAAATAAACATGGCTGAAATGTATTATGCTATCCCCTGGTTGTAGATTTCTCTTTTGGAGTCCTTCTTTCCTAGAACCTTTATTGTTAAAATTAGAAATACCTCCCATTTTCTACTAAATGTAGATATTTGTATATTGCTGTTTTAAAAGTGAGTAGTCTTGATTTGAAGGTACAGTAAGTTAGGCAAATTTCACTTGCTGTAAGCAGAGAGGACATCTCAGTGTCTTTTGTAAAGATGATGGAAGTTATAGGCGACATCTGTGCATTGAACACACACTCACGATCTATGCTTATGTTATATCCTAAAGGGTTAACAGGAAAGAATGGTTTAGAACTTTGCAAATTAGCCAAGATTGCTAATGATATGCATTGTATTCTTACTGTTAATTCAGTCATGGACTATTCCTCTATTCTGAATTACTACACTCTGATTATATGGATCTCAACCCTTTATTATTCATGGTATAAATTTAATTTCAGGTTTAATTGCACTGTACTTGGGTTACAGTAGAGGCAATCAATTTTTTGCAGTTAAAAGGCTGGATATTCAGTGTTTTAATAGACTTTTTAAAACAGGTGCTCTGAGCTCATGATATAGGGAAATGAATAGTTTTAGAAATAAGATGGCAAAAATCAATTATGACAAAAAAATTGTCATAAACTACTTACCTCAATCTCTCTTTGACTTGATATTTTATCTAATTAGTTTAGATTGCCTGAGTTTTGTAAGCAAATTTGCAGGTGTGGTTCATACATGTTTTTGATAGGCTAAAACGGGTCCCCAACCCCCTGGTCCATGGACTGGCACCCGTCCGTGGCATGCCAGAAACCAGTCCGCACAAACAAGCAAAACCCATCTGTGGGATGCAGGCAGCACACAAAACCACACACCCTTTGGTCTGCGGAAAAACATCCACAGAATCAGTCCCTGGTGCCCAAAAGGTTGGGGGTTGCTGGGTTAAAAGGCAGACAGACAGGGTGCACTCTATCTTAAGGTAAGAGAGAAAATAGCCACATGGCATATGACCAATGGGCATAAGAAGAACGCCCGCTCAAGACAAGGAAGTATGCAACACAAAGCTCTGAGTAATTTGCTGGTAAAAGCAACATACCTTATACAATTGCTTGTAGTACTGTTATTGGACAACTGCTACAGCCAGGAAAGGGCAGTAGGGGTAGCAGCCTGACCTTGTTCAAGAGCCCTAACACATTAATGCTCTATATTACTGGAAATCTAAATGAATAGCAAGTCAGCAGAATTTGTCTTGTCGTGGTGTGTTAGCACCTCAATCACCTCTGATTCTAAGTAGTCCTATTCCAGCCACTTTCCCTTCACTAACAAGGAATGTTGGAAGGTTCTTCAGGCAGGGACTCTTAAAGCTGATATAGTGACCATTTTCCTTCACTACCAGCTTCAGCAACTGAAGTGGCAGAATCATCAGATTTTCCCAGGGATTAGAATGTCCATGTTTGCATTCTATATTAGGGTTATGTCAATATGGTTTAAATCTACAAGAACCACTTATCAGGAATCCAGATTAATAAAATAACATGAGGAGAGCAAGTGGCAAACTCCCAACCTCCAAAGTTACCTGATCTCCCGTATATTATTTCTAGTTTATTTTCCACGTCCTTTCACTCACTTTTTCCTTCACCTCTTTTTCTTTAAAATGGTTCCCCATTGTCCTGCTTTAAAGGCTTCTTTTGAGAAGGGGGAGATGTTACCAAGCAAGAACTTGGCCGGAGAGAATTGGACAGAGGCAGAATGTGTTTTGGGGTGTTTCATCATGGCATTTATCAAGAACTATCTTGCCAGCTGCCATATTCTTTAAATCCAATTGGCGCTCCTAGGAATGAAGGTTCATCAGCAGATTTTCAATAGAATCGAATATAGATAGCTCAGGGTTTAGAGTCCTTGGTGATCTCTGAGAGAGTAGATAACATCATCAATGCTAGAGAGTGAGTTTGCTTCCCACAAGCGAATTATACACCGATGATGTTGCCTAGTTGGGTAATAAAATGTTTGCAAGCAAACAAACAAGCTTAGAGAACACTAAGAATTCAGCAGTAGTATTTTCCCAGTTGCCTTGCTTCCATTTAATGAGAGGAGTTCAGATTGCAATATTGCCAGTCAGCAACTAGGAATTTTCAGAACCAGCAATTTAAATTTCTACAGTGCATTGCAAAAAGCCATACATAACTGGAGAAAGTTTGTTTTTGCAGAATTATTGATACTTTATAATTCATAGAGGTCTAACAAGTTTATTGATTTATGAATCACAGCACCAAATAGTGAGTACCCCTAAGTTAATGCCATAAAATTCATTACCATAAGATTTCTGTTAGAAAACTTTCTTTCCATTAATTTCTTAAGATAATTTATTTTAAAATACAGTCCCTTATTGTTCTTGGTATTTAAACCTAATGGGAATTTACTGTATCTAGTAATTGTAGTCTGGCCTGTTGGATATCTTTCTTCAAAATTTAAGGGGAGCAAAACTACTTCTATTTAAATAAAAAAAACTGATGAAGACTGTTTTTGTTTTTTGTTTTTTTTTGGTAGGAACTTTCCAGTTATGGGGGCACACTATTCAAGTAGATTGGGCAGACCCAGAAAAAGAAGTAGATGAAGAAACAATGCAGAGAGTAAAAGTACTGTATGTTAGAAACTTGATGATGTCAACCACAGAAGAAACAATTAAGGCTGAGTTTAACAAATTTAAACCTGGAGCTATTGAACGGGTAAAGAAACTTCGAGATTACGCTTTTGTTCATTTTTTCAACCGAGATGATGCAGTTGCTTCTATGTCAGTTATGAACGGAAAATGTATTGATGGTGCTAGCATTGAGGTAACACTAGCCAAGCCAGTAAACAAAGAAAGCACTTGGAGACAACATCTTAATGGCCAAATTAGCCCCAGTTCTGAAAATCTTTTAGTCTTTACAAACAAAGAAGATGGTCATCATAAATCACTAACAAAACCAGCAAATCTTCCAATACGCCTTAATGGGCAGAATAGTCCAAGTCCTCCTGAAATTGAAAGGTGTACTTACCCATTTTTTCCAGGAACAAAACTTACTCCAATTAGCATGTACTCTTTAAAATCTAGTCATTTTAGTTCTGCTGTGATGCAGTTAGATTATTATTGCAACAAAAATAACTGGGCACCTCCAGAATATTATTTATATTCGACTACAAGTCAAGATGGAAAAATTTTGCTGGTACATAAGATTGTTATTCCGGCAGTTGCAAATGGATCCCAGAGTTATTTTATGCCGGACAAACTCTGCACAACAGTAGAAGATGCAAAAGAGCTAGCAGCACATTTTGCACTCATGCACTTGGGTAAGTTTTTTAACTTTGGTTTTAATTTTAATCATCTTAGTACTCAATTGTTATTATTTTGGTATAACATATCTAAAATGCCTATTCCACTTAGTAGGCAGCTTCTTCAGAAACATTTGCAGTATTTCAAGTTTTTCTCCCATTGAGGGGTGTGTGTGTGTATACAGTAAAAATACTATCACCTCATACTAGTCTGTTTTTAATTTTCTTATTAAGAAGCAAACTATATCTTGTTTATTACTTTTTTAAAAAAATCTTTGTAGCAAATGTAGAGAATTAATATTTTAAAAATTATTTTAGATATACAGTTTGCTTCTATCCATCCATGGATTCTTGGCTTTTAAGCCATTTAACACTGAGTGAGATATTCTTTCAAGTGTTTATTGAAAAGGCAGTGGCAGTTAATTTGGATCTTTAATTAATCTTTTTCTATTTAAAAATGCTATCATTAAAAAAGGTTCAATAGGAAAAAAAGAAATGTTTGGGAATTGATTTTCATACCCATTTAATTTCTTTTTCCTTATGGTTTTAAGAAAGTTAAATTTCATTTATGTTAATTACAGTATAAAGTTTGTATCTCCTTTTTAAATTACCTTTGAAATAAGTCTACAAGATAGTAACCTTTAAAAATCTTTAAAAACTTCTTAATACTTAACAGAGAAGGGATGGAAACTGTAATTTTTGTGGTAATAAGTAAAGGAGTCCCTGCTGGTTTTATTCCGCTAGTTGTAGCTGACTAAGGAATGTTACTCATCTCCATTTCTTTAAACCATTGATCCTGCACTGTCTGAAATCATTTCCTCAGTCATGTGGCCAGCATGACATCATGCCGCAGCACAAAGTGTGTGGCGAAACTTGGAACGCTTCTATCTTCCCACTGAAGTGGTACAGATTTATCTACTTGCATTTACATGTTTTCAAACTGCTAAATTGGCAGAAGCTGTGGCAAGTGATGGGAGCTCACTCCGTCACTCCCTCACGCAGTAGTATGAGTATAGATCTTCTCTGGCATCTTTTAAGCCACTGAGTCACTGCACTTCTCAATTTTTGTAGTAGTCAATTTTTTTTTTTTGAAAAGACACTTCCTTGTTATGGCAACTTACTCGATTTCTCAAGCTAGATTTTCATATCATACTAAGCCTAAAAAAATTGAAATTCAATGGTGAAAAAAGTAAGGTTCTACATTTAGGCAAGAAAAACTGGTACAGTATATGTGGTACCTTACTCAATAGTGGTGACTGAGAGGGATCTTGTTGTCCTACTGGACAATCACTTAAATATGAGCTAGCAGTCTGCTGCAGCTGCCAAAAAAGCCAATACAGTTCTAGGCTGCATAAACAGGCAGATAAAATCAAGATCACTTGAAGTGTTAATACCACTTTATAATGCCTTGGTAAGGCCACACTTGAAATACTGCATCCAGTTTTGGTCGGCACGATGTAAAAAAGATGTTGAGGCTCTAGAAAGAGTACAGAGAAGAGCAACAAAGATGATTAAGGGACTTGAGGATAAAACATATAAAGAACAGTTGCTGGAACTGGATATGTCTAGTCTTATGAAAAGGACTAGGGTGACATAGCAGTGTTCCCATATATCAGGGGTTGCCACAAAGAAGAGGGAGTCAAAGTATTCTCCAAAGCATTTGAGGGTAGAACAAGAATCAATGGTTGGAAACGAATCAAGGAGAGTAGCAACTTAGAACTAAGGAGGAATTTCTTGACAGAACAATTAATCAATGGAGCAGCTTGCCTCCAGAAGTTGTAAATGCTCCAACACTGGAAGTTTTTAAGAAGAGATTAGATAACCATTTATCTTGTCGGAAGTGGTGTAGGGTTTCCTGCCTAAGCAGGGGGTTGGACTAGAAGACCAATGTCCCTTCCAACTCTGTTACTCTATTCTAAAACATTTGAATTTACTGCAGTATGTGATTCATTACAAATTGAAGGTGTTTTTTTCATGTACTGTACTATCATCACATAGCTTAGTGTTATAATGTGAATGTAATTTATGTGAAACAAAGTGTGATCTATTCATCCTCTCCATTTTGCTCATTCTGCTCATAAAATGTCAACTGAAACCAAGTGGTTAAATATAACAGTTTTAAATTTATAAATATATTTGGTTGCAGTTATATCACATTAAGCCATAAAACATACGTATAATGGCATGTTCTCAAATTCAGCCATACCTGGAGTTCTGAAACATTGTGGGGTCATAGCACACTAAAATAATTTGTGTCTTTTAAAATCATGCAAAGGCAGGCTATTTTCAACTTTTCTGGTCAAGCACATCTGGTAAATGGGAAATAACAAACTTGCTATTTCACAAAGTAATTATGAATATTGCTATATTCTGGATATGTTTATGAGAAAAAGGTTTTGCTGAAAAATAAATAGAAATAATATAGAAATATTGTCATTTGCTTATGCTACTTTATAGCTATGTATTTTAGCTCATTGTTTCCTTCATTATGCTACCTAGAGAAATCGATAGAACTGGAGGTAATCCTTAATTTGCTTTGTTTTTGTAAATGCTACTTAATTTATCAGTGATAATAGATTGTGTTAGATATTTAAGGGCGATGGATCAATTTCCTTTGTGCAACAAAGAAAGGGTGGATTTATACATTTTAAGACTCCCTACTCCTGCAATATTATATAGAAAAGCAGCTGGAAAATGAATAACTCTTACATCAATGAAATTTAATGAAGGAAAAATTAAATGTGGAAAAAGATTCTCAAATAGGCCCAATTCTTTACGAAAAAAAGTGAAAATGAACTAGAATATATTCGTTCATGGAGAAACTATAAAGCACAAGAAGGATATGTGATCAAAATATATATTGTATAAGAAACTGGATAAAAGTTCAATGAAGGGGGAAATTGTAGTTTATAAAAGTATATCAAAACTGAAAGAAACTGAAGTTTTTGGAAATGAAAATGTGAATCTTGTCATATATTAAATACGAATGTGTATTTATAAACTCACAACTTGAAACAAATTAATCAAATTATGGCTTTATTTTTATTGGAACTTATTATTAATTCTGACAAGTAGACTATTATTACTACATCAATATATTACTACATCAATATATTGAAATATTGAACTGAAAAATACTGAAACAATGCTTTGCTAAAATTCAAGTATTCATTTTGTTTTAATCTTCATCATCCGACCTTGAATGATGGGAGATATCTACTGTCTGTCACAATTGGAAAAAGCTCATAGACTGGTCTTATATATTGCTAACTTATGGTTAATTTAACTGTGGCTTTTTAAATAAGTTATCTTTGGTGTTAATACTCTTCCAATATTTATTCATACCATTCTGAAAAACAAGTTACATTTGTTGCTTTTTTGCTTCTCTTAAAAAGTACTTTAATCATTTCCAACAATTATAAACTAGTCTCACATATTAATATGCTATTTTGCCATTGATCTTTTATATTCACAAAAATTATACACCAGACATACTACTCCAGTAATATAAGATACTAAATATAATAAGCTTTTAGTAAACATAAACTGCTTTTCTCAGGACATTGCATAAATTTTTATGGTAATTTTTTATTTGGCAGTTGTATCCTGATTCCAAAACTACCTTTGGAAAAAAGGATCTGAATGAAAAGGGAACTAACTCATAAACATTCCTCATTTATTTTTAATAAAATCTCTACACTTTACATTAAAAACTATGGTGATTTACATGAGAAATTGGTATTACCGTAGTTGAAAAAATCTTTGCTCATATTTTTAAAATGTTCTTATTTTAAAAAATATCAGAATAGAATGTTAAAGTGTTCAGTACTCTTTAATGATTTTGTATTAAGTGAAATGAAAATATATCTGCAACATCTGACTTCAGTCTTATATTCTAAACCCGCATATCTGCACATACGTTACTCTACAGTGCCAGCATAATACAATAAGCCTAATGGTTATTGGGTTTGTAACTTCTTCCATAGCAAGGTAATTAAAAACATAATGTATGTGTCTGCAACATTAATGCCCTCTTAACAGTTTTAACTAAAGGATTATACATACATAAAAAGAAATGAAATATGTAGTATAGAGTACTGCAGTTAAATCAATTGCAGAATTTCAAACATTTCAATGAAGATTAACATCACCTTTGAAGAGTGTTACATTCTGTCTCCACCACTTGCAGAAAGGGTACATAACCTCTCCAGTCTGGATCTGCATAGGAAAATTTGGACAAAGTAAACAGGTAAGTAACTTAAATGAAGCAAATGAGTAAAATTGGTGCTTGGTTTAACTCTAGCAATTTTTTTGATACTGTATTTGACATTGATAAAGTAGTATAAACCAGCAGTCACAAACCAGTGGTTGTGGTGGTCCGTGAGAAAATTTTGGTGGTCCGCAAAACAATTATTTGCATTTTTATATTGTACTAAATATTTATCTTTTTAAAAAATTCATATTAGTGGTCCGCGGGATTTAAAATTATGAATTTAGTGGTCCCTGAGGTCTGAAAGGTTGGCAACCCCTGGTATAAACTGTCCTTAGATAATACAGTTAATAATGTAAGCATTGCATATTCAAAATTATAATGTTCAAATTTTCAAAGTCAACTAGATAAGAGAATAAGGATGAATGCTAAATTATTGACAAAACAATGTAAATATACTTTGTTTCCCCCAAAATAATACATCCCCTGATAATAAGCCCAATTGGGCTTTTGTACGCATGGCAATAAGGCTTATTTTAGGGTTCAAAAAATATAAGACAGGGTCTTATTTTCAGGGAAACACTGTATTTATAGAAATATGCTATCAGATTTTTTTAAAAATAATCAAAATTTCTTATTTATTTATTTATTTATTTATTTATTTATTTATTTATTTATTTATTGGTTCGATTTATATGCCGCCCTTTTCCGGAGACTCAGGCCGGCTTACAATGCGTTAAACAATAGCCTTCATACTTTTGTATATACCTACTTAGTAGGGCTTTCGGGGCCCCCCTCAAGCGGTGTTCTTTTTTATACAAAGTCAGCTTTTTGCCCCCACAAACCAGGTCCTTATTTCATATAAGAAAGAGATGGAAATAATTTTATTCTTACAGCTTTTACTGAATATTTTGTTTGTAAAATTTCAACTAGCAAATTCAGATTACTTTTCATGGTCCATATTTTTATCTTCCTTTTGAAGTTATGCTCATGATGCTTTTATAAATATTAAATATTACATAATATTGTGCTGTGGTTTATTAGATGTGAAATTTATGTTCTAGTGGGAAAAACTTTGGAAAATATAAGGTTCAAGAAATCAAATTACAAATTAAAACATTTAATAACTTTTAACCTAACTAATCTAATCTAATTACATATCAGTTTTGTAACCTTAAAAGTAGCAAAATAGCAGAAAGAATATCTTTCTCAAATATGTTGAAGTTTACATAAAATAGATGTTATGATGTTGTTTATTTACTTTCTCTTGATTAGATATTTACACAGATCTTTACATTTTGCAGTTATTAAAGTCCTTTCACTTTAATAACTGCAAAATTGCAATATAGCATTTATAGTAAGCCATATACTTTGTATATTAGAATATAACTGTCAAATCAGTTTAAGTGTATTGTATTGCCTGATGGAATGAAAGAGGCTCATTCTATGATTTTAATAGTGTTTTGTTTAGGCTTATTATATTGAAATTATGATTTCAATCTCACTCTTGTTATCTTATGATGTACTGTATCATTTGTTAGAAAAAACAACAACTTTCTATTGACGATCACAGTTGGGCACAAAATTTCCATTGCTATGCAAGGCACTTATTAAGTGAGTGAACAGTCATTAAACAAATGGTTGTAAGTCAAGGAGTGTATATTATGCATATCAATGCCAACGTATTGAAAAAGATTTTAATTATATTTAAAATCCCTACTTTACATCTAAAAGATGTCACTGCTCTTTTACATATTGGCTATGTAACATGACTAAAAATGCTGCCACTTTATTTTTTCTGAACAGTTTATTGCTAACACATATGAAATCTTAAAGGCAAAGATTAAAACCATCTTATTTTTTGAAAAATTATTTTAATTTTATTGTGGCAGGAAAATATTTTCCATTTGCTTGTGCAAAATATAAGATGTAACTAAAAGTTTAAGTGAAAATGTTTAAATTTACTATAACATAAATTTATCAATCATGTAGTTTTGATTATACCAACTATAAATAAACCCTATTGTGTAAGTGAGATTTATTTCCAGGAAATGAATGTATGACTCTAGTCCAAAAACATTAAACATGACCTAATTAAAGATAGATAGATAGATAGATAGATAGATAGATAGATAGATAGATAGATAGATATAGATATATAGATATAAATATATCAACAACAGGGAGCGCAATAGCTCAGTGGTTAAAGACTGAGCTTGACAGCCTGAGTTTGATACCTGAGCACTGCACGATGGAGTGAACTCCCGTTACTTGCCTCAGCTCCTGCCCACCTAGCAGTTCACAAACATGCAAGTGCAAATAGATAAATAGGTATGACTTCAGTGGGAAGATAATATCGTTCTTTGTGCCTTGGCGTATAGTCATGCTGGCCACATGACCATGTCTTCAAACGATGCAAATAATGCTAATGCTTCCTCGGTTAAGAAACATGAGCACCACTTTAGAGTCAGACACTACTGGACAGAGGAAACCTTTACTTTTACCTTCATATCAATATCAATGGCTTGGGCTTTCCTAAGAAAAAGGTGTTGAATCCTACTCCATGCAAATTGTAAGATTTTAAATAATAGAAGTCCATTTGTATATAATCATTAAGTATCTATAGCTTCTTGGAACATAATATTTTTCTTGTATGTCATAATAAGATTTTGCAGTTTCAGTTTCTTGTCTTGGCTTTCAGTATTTTTTTCTTATTAAAATAAGTAACTTAATGTTGTAACAGTCAAATATTGAATTATATAAGAATAGTGTACACTATGGATGTATTGGACAGGTAGTAGGAATTAATCAGGTTACAGAATGGTTCTTCAGATTCTACATTTTTTTTCTCATTGAAACATTCAGAGTTATCTAGATTTCAGCAGTATCTTAAATATGTGAAGAATCACAAAAGTTCTACATTACTTCATTATATTAAAATACATTAAGATAATCATATTCATTCTTTTGAGAGGGACGTGCAAAATGAATGCACCTAATCTCAGTGAAACCTATACACCTGCAGAAGTGTTTAGTTTCTTACGTTGAAGAATGGATGCAGTGCAATTAATCCATTGAGATTTTGCACTTACTCCAGTAGTTCTAGTAGTGGGAAATGGCTTTTGCATAAGTGGAAATGCTGTTTTTGTTCCCAGTCACTGAATAGAAAAAGTAGCTCGTGTATGCATAGTGTATTTGCAGAAGTCACTTGTAGCTATTGGAATTGTTGGATAGACCTTGAAATGACCTGCTTTGCTTTTATAGAAAATATTTCACCTTTCAACTTGCAAAGAGTGCTTCATGTGAAATTTTATCAAAACAAGGCACTACAAGGCACAACTCTAATACAAAAGGTTTAGAAAGCCTGGGATCAAAATTGTATTTATATAGTAGTAACCCTCTATAATTCCTATGTTTTTGAGGGGTAAGATTTAGAATAAGAAGTATTTAGAGGGAATTATGCTGACATGATTTCTCCAATTTTCTTTTGAAATTGATATTCATGCTGCATAAATTTCTTTTGCAGAATACAATTTTTGTCGAAATCCAGTAAATAACATTTCTCCTGTTAGTGCTACACTTTCTTCTGGAACAACCAGCGTATTACCATATACATCAAGACCATATTCTTATCCAAGCTATCCCTTATCATCATCAATTCCACTTGCTAATAGCAACCATGTTGGACAGCGTTTGTACATCTCCAGTCAGGCCTCATTCTTTTGAGGAAAAAATAGCTGGATGAAAAAAATTACTTTTTTTAAAAAAAACCCTATAATGTAGTTTTAGTTTTAATTGTGTTTATACAATTGCTTTTGCTTGGTTATTTCATATTGCTTATAAAATATAGATAAGAAAACCCATTTAAATGTTTTTTTAAAATAATTTTTCTCATTAAATAGAAGCTTTAAAATATTTTAAATGCATGCAATTGTTGTAATCTTGTTACCAAGAATCCATTCTTTGGAGATGAAAAGCAGTATTTGGTGAAAAGCAAAGTATTATGTAAGAAGGAAATGATGCACAGTATTTTTTTTTTAAAAAAACAGAAACCTTAACTCCGAACATATAAACATTTGGGGTCCTTTAAAATTACATTGTATATTTTAGTTGCATGATATTTGTTTTATTAATCCACTGTTTACATTGTTAAATTTTATTTGTTGAAAATATTGTTCTATTTCCACGTTGTAATGCTTTTAACGTTCATATCATGTGTTTAATTCCCTACTTAAATACAGTCACTTTGACATTAAAATCTTGCTGTATTAAAATAGTTTGGATTCCTTTTTAATATTTAAAGTAAATATTGATAAATTTCAAAGTTCATTTTATTTCTCCTGTAGTAATTAAGCATGAGCAAACAATACGCAAATACAGAAAATAGTATGAAATTTTCTTTAGTTTGCGGACCTAAAGCTATTTGAACCCTCACCACAGGATTAGGATTTGTGTGTCTGTATTAGTTGATTCGCTAGTTGGTCAAAAGAGTAGTTCTGCCTCTGACCTTAGAGTAGCGAAGCTCTTGCTTCTAACAGAGATAGAACTGTAATAAAATTGTAGAATTATAATAAAATTCATTTTGCAAGCCACAGTATGTAATGCTTCGTTTATACTGCAGAGAAAGTTGAATCTCTGTTCCATTAGACCTAATTAATACAGGAATCAGACAAAAAAGATGAGCAATATTATTTCATAAGAGAACTCACCAAATTGATTCAAATGTTAAAATTTATTTCATTCATGAATTTAAAATACACTGCTATATGCCAGCAGAAGACAGCAGAGGAAACATGTTTGTTGAAAAAGTTTCATATATTATATTGCAACAAAAGAAACTGCATCTTTTAGAGGTCATATTACATCTAAAGTAGGTACCAGTTGACTCCAAAGCAGGTCCTAATAATGAGTGCCTCATTATTTTAATCTGATTACATTAGTATTCAGCTTTTCTTTCATTTTATCTAAGAAAAAAATATTGTTCCATTCAAATAATTTAGATTATTTGAATCTAAATACCGTAATAGCAGTTGGGAGTATTGTAAACATTTTTTATACATAACATATTTTTCTCCATTCCCATAGGGTAAGTTTGAAAGGTATCTACATAATTCTGTCTCATTTCCCAAAGAAACATTTAAGCTACAGCAATACCCAACATTTTTAGATTCCATTCATGTGGTATTTAAATGCACTATCTAGATAAGAATTTAGATACAGACTGTTTTAAATGGTCTGAGAATCTCTTGAAAACATATATTTATTTATTTGCTGGTTTCCAGTATTTACTTCTGGTTTCTGGCAAAAACAACCATTGGGGGAAAATTAAAGTTTGCTTAATAACTGGTATTCAATTGACTGCAATAAAAAAGGTTATAGAATCTCCTGCAATTATGTTGTGACTCAATAATCACCACAACTTACAACCATAATTCATAAGTCAATCAGAATCGTACATTGAGGACTAATTGTTGCTTCACTACAAGTTCTTCATCAGATATTCTTCTAATGACCAACTATCTGGTGTACCTATGCTCCTTGGTAAACTGTTGGTGTAATTGTATGGATGAGGGGCATGATTCGTTGCCATTATTTTTCTGGTCTTCCACCCAAAGCTACTTCAGCGTGCATCCAGTCCATTATTCCAGCTGCATATATATGACTGAAATTGCCCAAGTGTTAATTGTCTTGATGGTATTTCCATTTCTGAGTTTGGACTTTTAAGATTTTTTTCACTCTTCTGATGTATTCATTTCTAACCTTTTTCTTGACTTCAGTGTACTTGATCCTGTTAGCCAAAAGGATGCCCAGATATTTGTAATCTTTGTCTCATCCAGCCTCTTGATATTTCCATAGAGCATCTTGATTCCTCCAGTTTTCACTATTTCCCCTTCTTGATCGTATGGGTGGTTCATTTGTCTAGTCCAAGCTCCACTATCTTTGCTGTATATTCAGACAATGTTGAGCTGGATTCCATTTCAGATAGTGTTTTTTCTATAAAGCTTCAGATTGTCCATGTAAAGGAGGTCAGATAGTGTAGCTGGTAATTTTGATGTTTGATTGCTTCTTCAGTATTGTTGACAGAGGAATCAATGCAAGTAGTGGTGATAGTGTGTCTCCTTGAAATATTTCTCTCTTGATAAGGTTTCTCTTGATAAGCTCTCCCATTTGTCACCATTGACCAGCAGCTGTGTCTTCTATTAAGCCATTGATCTTGCACAAAGCTTCGGAGTTTTAATTCAATTTTACCTCCTTGCAGTATCTTAAACTGTTTGGCAATGAGTGGATGAAGACCATCTTAATGTTCCAACCAAAGCCATGCATTTTATCTTCACCTGGGTGCTGACCAATTCTTGACCTTCATTGCCCCTTTCTCCACCATTTCTGCTTTTGCAAGTTCTTCTAGCTTTTTTTAACCCTCTCTGCCTCCTTTATGCAAGCTGTATTTTGGTGATGTATTATTACAACTTTTTTCTTGTTTGCTGATTTTGCATTTAAGATCTTCAGTTATAACTGCACTTGTGATATATATCAAATGATTTGTTTTTTGCAATGAGCTAGTGCTTATATTTGATTACAGTATTGGCAACTTTTAATACAGGTAGTCTTTGACTTACAACAGTTCATTTAGTGATCATTCAAAGTTAAAATGGCATTGAAAAAGTGACCTATGTCTGTTTTTCAAACTTACGACCATTGCAGCAACCCTGTGGTCAAGTGATCAAAATTCAGGCACTTGGCAACTGACTTGTATTTATGTCAGTTACAGTGACCTGAGGTCATGTGATCACCTTTTGCGACATATCAAGCGAAGTCAATGGGAAAGCCAGATTCAGTTAACAACTGTCTTACTAACTTAATAACTGCAATGATTCATTTAACTGTGGCAAGAAAGATTGTAAAGTAAGGCAAAATTCACAACTGTCTCATTAACAGAAATTTTGGGCTCAATTACAGTCATAAATTGAGGGTTACCTGCTTTATTGTAACAAGCTTAAATACAGGCAACTTTGTTTGTGCTTTTCTACATACTCAGTTATTCTTTCAATTCATCTTGTTTTTTCAGCTAAAAGGACTTTGTCCTTTCTAGGAGGAAGGTAAAGGACAGGGTGCCTGATTTGGCAATGAGAATGGTTCCATAGAGATGCTTACCCCTGGTTTGTCTCTAATCTCTCAGCTATTTCTTGCAAGACTTTGATTTCTTTGCAGTTTTTCTAATTCTATTTTTGTCAACACTTTTGTTTCATATTAGAAATCAATGTACTTTACTTTATTGATTAGCTCTTGGGCCATATCAAAGTGCAGAGTTCCAGACACAAATTATTACTAAAACCTGATAAAAACAATTTAAAATGGAATTGGATAAAATACAATTTAAAATGAAATTGGAATAAAATACAATTTAAAATGATAGCTTTGATTAGCCTATAGACCATATCAAAGCACAAGGTGCAAACAATATCGCCAATAAAATCTTATACAAACAATTTAAAATAAGAGTAGGGTAAAATACAATAGTTATAGGATAAGATACAATATAATTTAATACATAAATATATAAAACAATAAAATTACATAAAATTACATTTCGGTGTCGCCCTTACAATCTACCCCAATCAGTCCACATATGCAGATCTCAACCGAACCATTTTGTTTAAGTACTATGCTGTGTTAAATGTTATTTTGAGGTTCTGGCTGCATATAAAGTAAGTAGTTTGGATATGGGGATCCCAATGGGTCATTTGTTTGGTATATGGACCAAGGTACCTGTCTCTCACAAGCAACAGTCAAATAGGATGTGAGCCAGGTTGTCTACCTCTGCTGCTCCGCAAATTGTAGGGTATAGAATGGAATTTCCCATATCTGACCATTGTGTCAAGCTACTCAAATCTCGTTGGCGTAATTATCTCCCTAAGATGTTTTGGCCAGAATGGGACTTTTCGCCTCCTACCCTTGGCTGCGCCTGCTTCTCCGCCAGGCTTCTGCCTCAGGGGATGCTCCTCTAGCTTTTCTCCTCAGCTGACACCCCCCACCCATTTGCCACTGTCCCTCCGTCCCACATGCCCATTGGCACGACCCATTCGCTGCCACACTGTTAGTCCCGGGCTTTTCGCCTCTGGGACAGTTAATTGCCAGCCAATCAGCTAGTTGCCAATGCTGGCAGCCAGAAGCCAGCTTCATCCAAAGGAGTTTTTGTTTCGGGTGGGTATCCTAGCCTTAGAAAGAAAGAGGGAAGGAGGAAGAAAAGAGAGAAAAGAGAGACAAGAAGAAAAAGAAAAAAGGAAGGAACAAAGGAAGGGTGGGAAGGGAGGGAGAGAAAAAAGAGAGGAAGAAATGACCTCAAACCCTGGCACTAGACATAGCTTCAGTGGATGCTTTGAAACAGCATAGCAATCCAGGGCCTGAAGGGACCTTGGAGGTCATCCAGTCCAACCCTCTGCTCCAGCAGGAGGCCTTATATCATCTTGATATAATTAGATGTGCGGAGGAGAAATTCCCAGGAAAGGAAACGAGTTTACTAGGCAAGGCTGCCATGCAGAGGAAGGCAGAGATAGTCCTCGACTTTATGACAACAATTAAGCCCAAAATTTTGGTTGCTAAGCAAGAGCATTTTTAAAGTGAGTTTCGACGCATCTTACTCAATCCATCCTTGATTTACAACCGTCATGGCCAGTAGCAAGACAGGTCATAAAGTGGGAGAAAGCTCACTGAACAGCTGTCTCCCTTAGCAACATAGATTAAGGGAAGCCAGATTCACTTAGCAACTGTGTGACTGACTTAGTGACCGTTCAAGTTAAAACGGCACTGGAAAAAGGTGCTTATGACTGTTTTTCACACTTAATGAACATTGCAGCATCCCCATGGCCAGGTAATCCAAATTCAGACGCTCGGCAACTGACACTTATGGCGGTCTCAGTGTCCCAGAGTCACGCAATCCCCTTTTGCGACCTGACCAACGAAGTCCACGGGGAAACGATTCGCTTAGCGATTGTGTGACAAGTTGCAACCTCTCACTTAACAACAGTGGCAAGATGGGCCGTAAAGTGGGAGAAAGCTCACTGAACAGATATCTCCCTTAGCAACAGAGATTTGAAGCTCAATAGTGGCTCAATACAGTAAGTCGAGGGGTACCTTTACCCTTCCCTTACCAGTAATCCGGCAGGCCTTTGCTTTAAAATTCTGAATCTGGCCCACAGTGATTGACATCCACTATGGGAGGATGGATTGAATGAGATGCGTTGAAACTCACTTTAATAATGCTCTTGCTTAGCAACCAAAATTTTGGGCCCAATTGTTGTCGTAAGTCGAGGACTATCTCTGCCTTCCTCTGCATGGCAGCCTTGCCTAGTAAACCCCTTCCCTTTTCTGGGAATTTCTCCTCTGTATTAGAGGCACATCTAATTATATGAAGATGATATAAGGCCGCCTGCTGGAGCAGGGGGTTGGACTGAATGACCTCGGAGGTCCCTTCCAACACTGGAGTGCTGTGCTATTTCAAAGCATCCACTGAAAGCTGCGTCTAATGCCAGGGTTTTCGGTCCTTCCTTCCTCTCCTTTTTCTCCCTCCCTTCCCACCTTCTTCCTTCCTTCC